TAAGAACAGTTTCCTGCTCCCATCATCATGTTTAAAAATAACTAGAATTTGTTTTCAATTCGGCTTTCGAATTTTGCATAAGTTTTTTAAAAAATACCGTGCTTTAAGTTTATATGCGGATCAACTTATATTCGGAAAAAATACGATGTAAGAATTCAAGTACACAATAAATAGAGTAAGTTGAGAACTAGTCTTAATGAAACTAAATCTGGTTCTATTGGACAGAGTCGCAGCTTTTTCTTCTGTCTATTGTACAGAGAGAAATATATATATATATATATATATATATATTGTTATAGAATGAACCATTAAATACGTAATAAGTCAATAACAATTGCATACCTAAATTTTAAAAATTTCTAGCTCGAATCGAATAAATAGCAAAAACTAATCACCAACAAATAAATACGTAGTAGAAAAACATAAAAAACGTCATCCCAACATGTTTGAGACATAAAATTTTCATTATTAACAGCAAAAAATATGATAAATATGCATATTTTTTGAAAATTGTAAGAATTTATAAATAGCCTACAATATTATTAAGAAAATGCTAAATGTTGTTGTTGTTGTCTTGTCCAAGTAATGCAGAAGAATCAAATGGTGCCAAAGGCGCCCAAAGCAATGTCGAAGACCTTTGGAGAAAAAATCAGTTGATCGTCCTTGGGGGTTTAGATCTATGTTGTGGAGTTTAGCTAAAATAGAAGGTCAATTAAAAGTATAATTAGGAGAAGTTGGATGTCAGGACAGTGAGGACAAGTATTGTAACTTTTTTTGCTGTCAGGAGATATTTCCATCCCCTTTTAAGTGGTTCTTACGTAGTCTGGCTTTGATAGTTGAAATTACACGGTTACAATTAAGTTCTGGAATAAAGTGCTTTTTAACTGGATGGAAGGTGAGTTCGCGTCTGGATATTAGATAAACATCGGTAAAGGTAATGCTATTGGAAAAATGATAACTAATGACCTTTAATTCGTCGTTTCCATTAAATTAATAGGTCAGGTAATCTAGAAAAAAGAATAATTTTAAAGTGAAAAAAATGGAAAATTTGGAATTACAAATAATATTTTTTCTCTAATATTGTAAATTGATTTTAATAATCTTTTAACTATTTCATCAATTTAAGTATATCTATCAAAATTTCCCTTTTTTTATTTATTTGTTGCAATAATATACTTTATATTATTATGTTTCTTTACTGTTCCAAAATGGATATTTAATAATACTGAGAAGTTAAAATCATCGCTGTTAACCCAACTGTTGGTCTATTAACAATTGATCTATTGTTTGTTCCTTCATATTAAGAAATATTCCATTTATTAATCGGATTAGTATTTATTGAAAGCAGGATTAATCTGGATAGATATTTACGTTAGATTTTAATCCGCTATTTTTGTCCGCGACATTATAAAATCCTCATATCAATTTATATTACAGACATGTTAAAATTTACTATCAACAGCTTGTATTCGTCGAATTCCATTCGTGGGGCATTTGAATATTAGAAAAGTAAAAACACTGAATACAGAAGGAAAGGAAGGAAATTTTATGGTACATTGAAGATCGCTTAGATTAAGTGACATACGTAGTATTTTACTCCCTGAACTTTTCTTTCAGCTTTCTTTCAAGATGGACGATAAATTCCCTAAAGTAAACTGTGTAGCAAGTCTTATTTTATGATGCGTTGGACATCTGCCATTTGGCTAAGACGGTTTTATTTTCCCAACTTTTTCCTCAGAGAATGTATCCCTAGAGTAAGGTGGTTCTTCGAGTGTTTTGCTAGTGTATTCCTGCACTCCCGATTCAAGATACTTATTTTTTATACAGCTTTTAGATGATAAAACGGAACTTCATTCTCATTCAAGCAAATTCCCTTTTGTTTGGCATGATTTTTATATCTTTATTCAATATTTATAGCGTGAAATGTGGCAACCGAGTGAAATGTTTTATGTTCTTTTTTCCAGATAAAGTACGTATAAAAGTTGAAAAATATCCTGACTTCGTTGTAACATAACCTTATCATGGAGAACCACATCCCATAGCATAAATTTTTCTTGTATATCAAATCTCGAATGTATTGTTTTAAATAAACATCACTCAAGACTGAAGGATTGTAAAATTTTTTTGCTACATGCATTGATTTGTCAGATTGTTACGGAATTGCCAAAAAGGTGCAGGCAGAGACCTTTTTTTAGAACGTTTCATTTTAAATACATTAAAATTAAATTGCAAAGGAATTCAAACATATATATTTTTTTAAAAAAATTTAAAGTAATGGTCTTCAAACTTTTTCGATTCATGGAACCCTCAGAGCAGTGCTTCTCAAACTTTCAATATCCGCGACCCAATATTCAATCGTAATTTTCATTGCGCCCCCCATACAATAACAAAGTATCGAGTACAAAGCTATAAGGCGATCTTAATTATAACCCGTACAAATTATCAAGATAAGAATTAAACTTTGTATATGTTATATAAGTAACAGGGTGATTACATTACTTTGTATTTCTAATTTTTAAACTGGAACAGATTGCAGAGTTATTTTTAATTAAATTAAATATTTTCTCAATCATCCATTTCTATTGTCTAATATTCCATTTCCAACTCCCACTTTGTGAAACCGGATTTTCTACTGTGGTTACTGCGAATACAAAATAAATATCTCGGCTAAATATAGAAAAAGGTTTTAGAGTATCAATATCTAATATTAAGCTTTCCTTTGCAAAACTACTGTTCAAGATAAGCCCATGGTAGTCACTAGTTAATATTAAACTTTATCTTAATGTAGTATTGGTAAATTAATAATACAAATACATTGTGCAGTACTGATACATTTATAAGTACTCGTATATTATACCAGTGTAAATGTGTGCTTTGTATTTTATAATTTTAGAATTTATTCTCTATCAGTTTTGCTACCTTTCACTTAATCAATATTTGCTTAAATAATCTGGTATTTTTGACTTTAAGGTATCCAACTACGTTCGGAACTGTGATTTTAAAAAAGTGCTTAAATGGATAATTTTCATGTAATTTAGTGTCACTTGGATTAGAACACATATATAAAATTGTTTTAAGGTCATTTTGACAAAAAAAAGTTATTTAAATACAATATTTCAGCAAACAATTAACTTAGAATAACCTTTTTTCAAACTGTTCTCCTTTTATAAAAACTGCTTCTATAATAATAATATTTTGCTTATATATAAAGTAAAGACTTCTCCAGAGAATTTGAACTAGGATTTTTGCAAAATTCACATTATTTTCAGAGTTACCACCAATTGAAATAATTATCAGCGCTTTTTTCTTAAAATTTCTACCTCTTTTGTAGCAAAACATGGATAAACCCACTTCTAAGTTATATATTTCAAAAATTCTAGTTGAGCCTCTGTTCAGAGGTCTGAGCTATATACAGGCAAAGTATTACTATAATAGAAGCATTTTTCACTAAAGGAGAATATTTTGAAAACTGGTTATTTTCTATGTTAATTTTTTGTCAAAATATTGTACTTAAATAATTTTTTTATTGTAATACTATTCTTAAAACAATTTTATAGACGTTTTTTAATCTAAGGGATGCTAAATATCATAAATATTATCCATTTATACGCTTTTGCAAAATCCCAGTTCCGAACGTAGTCGGATACCTTAACTGACAAGTCTAGTTATTTCACGATGTATGTTATTATATGGAATAATGGGTTTTACACACTCTAATGGTAACTTTGTGTAAATATGGTACATACTTAAAGGTTATTTTGCACCCAAAAGCCAACGGTGTTCAAGTCGTACTTGCTGTACTACGATTAACAACTTTTGCTGAATAACTTCCACAATTCGTTTACCAGTAAAACCAATGTTTGGTTGAAATAAGGCTTTTATAGTACTGCTTACTGTCGACAATATCTCTTCTACGAAACTCATTTCTAAATGATATTTTGTTAAAAATAACCTTTGAAATATTTTAGGAAAATCTATAAAATAATATTTTTTATATATATATTTCTCTCAATTCCCTCTGTCTCTCTCTCAGATTTATTTAAACTTTATTATAGACCTATTGTTTCATTTCAGTCATAACCAGTGATGGGGCCGCCGGTCCCTAAGGACTGCAAAAAATTTTTATATCTGCCCTGTTGTTGTTTACAAGAAAAGGAATTTCTGGGAGCGCCTCTCACCCCACCGAAAAGGGTGACGCGTTTCCCACGCCTGGAAGAAGGCAATGTACCCATAAAACATGGTATGGAATGTTTTGGGAATTTCCCGCGTTTGGGGGAAGTCATCAACCGCGAAGGATATCCCTCCGCTGACTCCAGTCCAATCAGAAAAGCTGATTGTGTTTCGAAAAAGAATCCTCTCCAGAATACAGAAGTAAACCGCCGCGAAATATAAGCGCATGCACGACGAATTGAGACACTCTCTGACACAAATTTTATCACCGATTTTGGTCTGACGACCCTTTGACAAAATACCGCGGTTGGAGACTCTCGGGATGGCCACACCATGTTTTCTCTCTCTCAGAAATAATTCAGTTAAGTAATCATGTATATCCTTAGTATTTAACGTAATTTCAATCTTATTGTAAATAAATTAAGTGTTAATTTGCCTTTTAATTTAGTGTCATTTTTTTTTTTTGTCTTTAAAAGATCTAATGTTTAAACTTAAGCAATAGTGTGACGCCAACTGAAATTTAGAACCGGGTTTTATTTAAAATGGATCTAACGAAATAAATTAATCAAATTAACTTAAGTTAAACTGGCGTTGCATTACCAGTAATATAAAAAATTATGTCAATTCCTATTTAAGTCAATAAAGAAAATTTTGTTTTAATTCCTTTTTATTGAACAATTACAATTAATATAAATATGTATATACGCATGACAGAATCACAATATTAAGTGGCAAAATCGAAAGCAATTTTCCTTTCTATATGGTGTTGGACTACTATTTTTGTTTGCTACTATTTATTCATTCATAAATCACATTCTCAGAATTTAGGCCAATCCAGATAGGAATCGAGCCAACGACCTTTGGATTAGAAGTCCAAAGCGCACTATCCATTGCACTTCAGGGACACACCGAGTGATTTTCCTTTTATATATGCTGTTGGACTATTATTTTTGTATGTTACTATTTATTCCTTAATTAAACAGAGTTAATGAGTTAATATTTGACAAAACTGTATTAACGTCAAGTGTTACCCACTACAAGTTTTAAAAAAAATGTATTTGAACTTGAGTGGATGAATAAAAAGTATTTTATTAACGATTGAAAATTTGAACAAGGTATATATATATATATATGTGTGTGTGTGTGTGTGTGTGTGTGTAATATATAAACATATAGAGAGTGTGAATTAATAGCAGGAATTGAAAAAAGTACTTATTTAGTGTATCTCTTTTCAAAAATTATTTTTTCATTACCTTAATCTAGTTTAAACTCAGCCGGAGTTCAAAAATAAGAAGAGAATTTTATTTGTCTAAGAAAGTTAAATAGAAACTAGAACTAATATAGCCTACCCATGCTTCAGAAATACTTAAAAATTCGTGTTTGAATTGGTGTGTAAATATTTATCTTAAAGGGTCATGCCAAAGCTTTCGATTTCAGTTCTGGAGCTCTATTTTCACTTCAAAAGTTTGAAAGATAAATACTAAAGCACTGCCTTTTCAAATCTGTCATTTCAAATTAGTTCATGCTTATGAATTTTTTCCTGTTTTTAGTAAAAAAAAAAGATTTACTGACTCATTTCTAAAAATGTATCTTATTATTTTAAAGTTATGCGTAACTTTATACATTGAAAGAAGTGAATAAATTAATACTTCTTGAGAACTCAAACAATTAAGTATTAGTATGTTTAACAACTATTGATACAAATTTCCAGGAATTTTATTTGTTCTTGTGAGAAGATAAATATTTTATGTAAATAAGATAATTGTATATAATTCGAAGTAAAATAAATGCAATTTTTTTCGTTATGTCCTATTCATCAGAAAAGCACACTACTTCAGTTGCTAAATTAGGTCCGCAGTAAATACGGTCGGATCTCTGTATAACGAAGTCGCTAAATCTCGAAAAAAGTTCGTTTATGGAAAATTCGTTGTATAGAGGTTCATCTTTCAATTTCTTTATAAACCACATGAAACAAATATTAAATTCATAAACTCTATATATTTTAAGAAGTAATTATTCACATCTTTTTGTAAATTAATATACATTTATTTTGTATATCTTACCTATAAAAAAGAAATAAAGAAAGAAAAACTGCAAGAAAAGTTTCTTGCCACCTTTATGCACTTCCTGAAGAATTAAATTTTTTTTCTTAGATCCTCAAGTACTTACGTTTCGAACAGTTTTGAGAAGTTACGCAAGAAACGAAAAAAAACGAAGTTACCTTTACGACTGATCTACACTACAAATGATCAGAGACTAGTTCAATGACACGAGACTCCACAGAGGGTAAAAGGGGATATTGAACATGTTTCCAGTGAACTGAACATTGGAGATTAAAGGTTTCACTTCTTGAATGAAATGTCCAGAATTCTATTGCTCTCAGCGAGTTAGGCACCTAATAAAACCAGTTTAAGATTTATGACTACAATAAAATGTGTTAAAAGAGAGAACAACTTGAAGTGTTCAGAAATATTTTAAAATTAAGGGGAAAAAAATTGAATCACAAGATAAGAATTTCTTTATATAGAAAATTCACTTCGCTCTTGGGAGATTATTTTACGAAGAAAATCATGAAACGTTCTTTGTTCCAGGAAAAAGTTCGCTATATAGAAAAGTTCGCAATATAGAGATTTGACTGTACTTTGCATTTATTTGCGAATAAAAAAAATCAAGTCATTATTCATATTTGGCTTGTAATGTGACTTTTTCCACAAATAAACCAAAATAAGTTTTCTTTAAATATTTTCACATCTTCTACCACAAGTCCGGAGTACATTAAAACGTATATTATCTGCATACTTTATTACATAAATCGGATATGCAGTCGAACCTCTATATTGCGAATTTTTCTATACAGCGAACTTTTCCTGGAACCTTGAACATTTCACGATTTTCTTCGTAAAATAACCTCTCTATAGTGAAGTGCATTTTCTATGAAACAAACTTTTTTCTTTTGTGATTCTATTTTAATTCTCGCTTTTGTTTAAGTACATATTTCTGATAAAATTTCAAGTTATTCTCTCATTTTATGGTGGTCATAAATATTGAACCGGTTTTATTAGATCCTAACTTGCCGAGAGCAATAGAGTTCTGGACGTTTGATCCACAAGAAGTGCAACCTTTAATCCCCATTTCCTAGTTCACTAGAAACATCTTCGATATCCTCTTTCACCCTCAGGGGAGTTGTCCCGTGTTCTAATTACAAAATAATGTATGTTTAATATTACTTGCATGCTTTAAATTATAAAATGTCCTTAAAATTCATTAATTTTAGTACAAAATTATTTTCTTAATATTGAAAGTACAGTGAAATCTTCGACATTCTTTTTTCTTGTTTTCCTTGTAGTTTTTCTTTCTTTTTTGATGGGTAAGATGTATAAAATAAACATATATTAATTTTTAAAAAGGTGTGTGAATAATTACTTTTTTAATATAATGTGTTTATGAATTTAAAATTTGTTTTATGTGGTTTATATAAAATACATTGAAAGACTATAATTTCTATTAGCAAATTTTCTACATAATTATTTTTTTCGGGATTTTGCGACTTCGTAAATAGAGGACTGGCTGTATATGTGTATATAATCATATTTTATATATAATTTTTAAGAACTTAATTACAGCAGAATGGATTTAGCCAATGCGAAATTGACTAGCCGAGCTGTGCAACAAATTTCTTTTTAGAGCGATTTTGTTATTTATTTGTCGTCTTAGCGGGTGTCATCTCTAATGAATGATTTAATGCAGCCATTCCATGCATCTATTCAGTTTTATTAATCATAAATCTCATACAGGCGAGACTTTTACATGTCACGTTTCTATATTTTATTTATGTTTTATTCAAGACAGATAAAATGATTCCCCCCGTGTACCGCAAGTATCACACGAGGCTTACATAAGTAAGTAAAACAAATAAAACAATGTTAAATAACAAAAAAAAAAGTTACGAAACAAATAAAATAACAAAATCAAACTAGGACATTACAAAATTAAACAATTAAATAACTAAACTACGACAGTGAAGTAATGAAGCATTGCAAAGCTATGAAGTGATGGGCTCTATTTATGGTACTTCTATGGGGCTCTATCTATGGTACTTTCTCAACTTTTTTTTTTTGACGGGCCGCATACATATCATGGTTATTTCACGCGGGCCACAACATGAGGATAAATAGAGGAGAGGGGGGAAGCGAAATGTTTTAAGACAAAAATAATATAGAAAATTCAAAACGTGAAAAATTGATCAAAATATTTAAACTCCTATTTTGCTTTTTTTTAATTATTATTTTTCTATTTTTGTCATTGAATTTTTCTAAATTGGAAGCTTTTAAGAATCACTTCTTCACAATTTCTGCATCATTAAATGGTTTCATGTGATTACCAATAATATAAGAAATTTCATACGGTGCCTTTATTACCACTGTGACATTACCGCTGACAAAACACTTTGTTGCTGTAGAAGAGATTATTCAAGAAAGCCTACTTATCACCTCTTGAAAAAGTTCTTCGAGGAAAAGAGTCATTGAACGCTTTTCCTGTTTATTGGTATTTTTTAAATACAGCACTTTTATGACAAATCAAACAATTACCGATCCATGCTTGTTTTTCACTACAAAATAGTCAACGTCCCAATCGTCTTGAAAGAACTTATTTTCTCCGAATATTTTTCGCTTGTAAGATATGAAAGGTAGTTAAAAATTAGTTCAACTTTTAAAATGGTCGCTGTTCCACTGTTCTCTATTATCACTAATAAGAAAAAAATATAAATTCGCCTCCATACGACTTCAAAAGCAAAAATAAAAATTGATATACTTGATTTCTTAACAAAGAATTTCCCACCAAATTTTTATAAATAAGTGAAATTTTCAGAGCAATGGGCCATGATCAGGCCTCTTAAGATGTCCCAGTGGGCCGCAGGTTGAGTTCTAGGGGAAACTATTCTTTAACTTTGATTTTAGTTTAAAACCGCATTCCGTAGAGATGACTAGATTTCATGCAAATGTAAATGCTATTTAAACCCTGACGTTGAAGTGAGGCTAGGTTAATCGCGTGAAATATCGGATTAATAGAAAGTGAATTGCGACTAGGAAGTCGTGCGGTTTTAAACTAATATTCATCTTAGAATCCACTGGAGCTTAGAAAGGAAATAGCGGTGGAGCTGTACAAATCTATCGTGGTTTGATGACTGGTATAAGAAATTCCAAATTCCTTTAAGTCCTTTTGATTGATTGAATATTAACGTTTTGAATAGTCTAATAATGGTTAATAACTACCACACCAACGGGAGGACGTTTCAGCTCTCGACAGATTTAACGTGCATCGCTGCCCTACACGGCGGGTCTTTAGTGGTATTTGACAAAGCAAGCCAAGATTGCTCCCAGAGTTAAGCTATAAAGTTGTGAATCATTCATAAAGTGTTCGATATAAAATAAAAGTAAAACGTCGTTTATCCGAACGTTTATTATCCGGAGCGTCAATTATCCGGACCAGTTTTTTTGTCAACTACATGTACTGTATATGAATACGTTTTTGAACAGTGCAATGCTGAACAGTTGTTTCGCGTGAGGCCAAAAATGACGGAAAAACCCAAGGTCAGGGATATTTGGGGAATTTAAGTTGTGTGATTTAGTAAACATGTAAGCGGAATATTAGGTCAGTTGGTTTCCAAGTGAGGGGGTGTATACGTGATCTTTTGTTGAGTTGTGAACTGCTATGGCTTCGAATTCAAAATGGAAGCTCGAAATCATGAACATAGAGACAAAACTTGAAATATTGAACCGTCTCGCAAAGGGAGGAAATGGAGCGTCTCTAGTACAGATTTATAATGTTGGAAAATCAACAATTTCTGACATAAAAAAGCCGAGAAACCATTTTATATTTTGTGTCATTTCTGACATAA